GGGATGTGTACGTGTTGATTCCACCTAGCCTAACCAATGCGGATCCCCTCTTGATAGTACGGTGACTCTTACGACACAAGACCACCAAAACTGAATTGAAAGGGCTACACCGTCTTCGCTTCAAACTCTGGGGAGAGGGAATCGTCTCGCCAAAGGATGAATCTCTGAAATACTCAACGCACATGATTAGTCCGCAAATATGTTGTCATCAATCACCAAAACTACTTAGAGAGAAACATGCCTTAACATCAAGGTCATTAGCTTCAAGTTCCTCCGAACTAGAGTCCTCATCATACTCTTGTTCATGCACGCTAGTATCTTTTTTATCGAAAATATATTATTGACAATAATAATTGATGGCATTCACCAAAGCATGCATCCAATCAAGAATTTCATCTTTCCAACGAGCTTGAACAACTTCGATCTCAACATATAATTTTCAAGCACTCGTGCTTAACACATACTGTATGATTTTCTTGGTGGCATTTTTAGTACTATTGTAGTGGGTTACCACCTTGTCGTAGGTTTTTGTACATTGGAAGTCAAGATGTTTGGGAGACCAGCAACATCTACAAGAAACTTGATACATAGAACATAGCATATATGCGTATGTGTTTAAAATTTCTAGCAGTTCTAATGTATCCATAGAATTTATGCTCTTCTTGTGAGTTGCATCATCAAAGAACTCACTGAGTGTGTGCAAAAATTTACTCTTGGGAGTGGGAGGTGGGCTTTCCTCCACTACTTATTCCATGAGGCTTCTTTCTTTCAGGCACACTTGTTAATCCATGATAATTTGTTCTTCGTGATCCCAATAATTTTGCTGCAATTTAGTTTCAAAAAATATATAATTTATGATCTTTTACCAATTCTTGCAGTCATGCTTCTAGGGGTGTTGTTTGCTCTTCTTGTGCAACCTTTTCTTCATCCTTCTGCAGATCCGGTAAAATATTACTTCTCCCAAGGCAGATGCAATCTGATCGTGTTCATTGATCAGTTATGGGTTATCGCAGAAAACATTTGAGCAAAAAGTATGAATAGGTTGCAATTTCATATAAATCAAAACGAATGGATCATCCTGATTCTTCATATTAATGATATTATGTACTCCCTCCATTCCTAAATATAAGTCTTTTTAGAGATTCCAAGATACCGAACAGAAGGAATAGAACCACATCGACACCCTCAAGAAGTACACATTGTAAGATCACCAATCTAGCATTTAATTTATCACTAGAATTATAGCTTGCTAGCATGGGGTCGATATTACTTTTACATTGGTATTGCATGTGATCCTTCAGATCCATAGTCTGTGAATGGTAATTGATGTGAAGCACATATAAGGGATGCACCTTTGTTTACCAATTGCAACCATCCGTAAAATGGTTTATCTGGGTAGTTCTTCTCCATTGCAGATTTCAGATTTTTCCTGAGTAGACATCTCAGAAGACATGATGAGCAGATTTTTTAATGATTATTGGGTTAATATATAGCAACGAACAAATAAACAAAGAATGAACGGGTAAGTAATAACCAAGCACCATTCTCTCCGGCGATGGGGCCAGAAAATGCTTGATGACCTTTGAGTCTACACGGTTGTTGTAGCACTTTCGTGATAAGTGAAGTGTCGAACCCACACGGAGCGAATAGTAAGACACCACAAACCCCACAACTACGTCATCACTTAACACAATTCTATAAGCACAAAAGCCGGAGTTTGGAAATAGCCTACTTCACTGAGTTGCTAAGACAAATAAAAGGAGGGTTTGAACTAAACTACCATCGTTTATTTCTTATACTGTATTATCTTACATGTTATCTCATTACAACTATTTTATCTATGTAAAAGGATAAATATTAGGTTTCTCAAAGTAGTATGCAAACTCTCTATATGCCATGCACTTAAACTCTTGGGCGACACACATCGTCTGGAGCTCCTATTTGACGCATTTGCATCAAATAGCAGGAACATGCCCCCTCGACGAAATTCGATCTCCAGACCTATAACTTGCCAAGGAGAGTAGGTAACCAGTTTAGCTGACAAGAGCTGGTGACCAAAGAGGAGCGTGCGCAGTTAAGAACTAGGCAAAACGCGAATCTGGACTATTTTTTAATTTTTTTGAACATTTCTTGGAAATTGTGAACATATTTTTGAACATTCCTTGGAATTTTTTCAAACATTCCTTGAAAAGCAAGCATTGTATTCCCTGATTATTCAATTTTTTGAACAACTCGAACAAATTTTGATATTCATTTTTTAAAGCAAAAACATTTTTTAACAAAATTAAAATTTTAAAATCCTGATTATTTTTTAAAAATGAAAACATTTTTCTAATTTTTTGAATACAATTTATAATGGGAATATTTTCAAATTTGGAACAAAATTTTTAAAGTGCGAGCATATTTTGACATCCCTGAACGTTTTTTGTAAACACGAACATTTGTTTTAGTTTGTGAGAATATTTTTGGAAAATAGGAACATACTATTTTCACTTTCTTTACAGTTTTTAAAAACATGAGTATTTTTTGAATTTATGAACAAATTTTGAAAATACGAAACTTTGAAATTTTGAACATGTTTTTACAAACACAAACATTTCCGAAATTTCCAGACATTTGTCGAAATCATGAAGATTTTTAATATACACGACTTTTTTGAAAAATCACAAACATTTTTTGAAAAAAAAGGAAAAATGAAAAATAAACAAAAAACCCAAAACGAAAAAAAGAAACATAAACATAAAAAAGGAAAAAAATAAAAAGAGAAAAACAAAAACCAATGATAACCTGTAAAAAAAGGGGGAAATGGTTGGGATAGTTCCCAAGCTATCTACAAATATGGGACGGCCCAAATGCATAGCACCGACAGTTTGCCACGATAAGCATCAAATACGGAATTCGGGATAGCAACCGTA